TAACGTCTGTGGTCATTTCCATCATTATACTTCAGCTTCTTATTGGATTCATTTTACAGATCCAGCATCGATATCTCAAATAAGTGAAAATGTGATAGTGAACCCAAAAGAAGACGCCACTCTCTCCTGTACTGCAGATGGCAATCCTCTGGCTGACGACACCATTACATGGAAAAGAGATGATTTCCCGGAATTCGCTGCCCGAACTTCAGTGATGTATGACAAAAATGGCACCTCTTATCTCAGGATATCAGGCGTTACACGAGAAGATCTGGGTAACTTTTTGTGTGTCGTTAACAATGGAGTGGGAAACGCAACCTCGAAAGAAGTTATGTTGATTGTTAAACGTGAGTATTTTTATGTTTGAAGATATAAGCTGTAAGGTTAGATTAGATGGTTTTTTTATACGCTGTTCAACAAATGAAGTGAATTTTACTTTTTCTGAAAAAATATTCATTTCTTCAATTATTTCTATTTCGTCCTCTCCAAAGTAGTCCCCCTCAGATATAAAACACTTGTGTCAGCGTTTTTTCCCATCGTCAACACAACGAAGTATTTTCATGAGTCTCTATAACCTTGGGAACCGGAAAAAGTTGCGTGGGATCAAATCTGGTGAGTACGGTGGCGTGGATTGATTGATTGATTCCTTATTAATCGTACGGCCATGTGGCACTACACCACATGGTCGAAGAAAACTGTAAGCAAAATCTTGACTTTTGATCCAACTTGGCGTGCTTTATTGGGTCTTGGCTCTCCTGGGCTATTTCATTGGGACGATTGGACTTTGCTTTTATACCCAGGATGTGTCACCAATTATGACCCTTTTAAGCAAATCTGGATCGCCATTGACGTCATTCAACAATTTCTAGTGATGCTCATGCGTCGAGGTTTTAGTCAAAATTGAGCAATTTTGGAACAAACTTCGCTGCCACACGCTTCATGCACAAAATCTTCGAAAAGCATCCTCAGCAACTTCTCTAATAGTGATTCGACTATTCTCCATAACAATTTTTTTCACTTTCTCAATATTTTCCTCGGTTGTTGATGGACTAAAGCTTCCAGCGCGAGCGTCATTATTCACATCTTCTCGACCTTCTGTGTAAAGCTTGTGTCATTTTTAACATTTTTACGACTTAGAGTACAATCACCGTATGCCACTGACAATATTTTGAGTGTATTTAAGTACTCAATGGTTTTTTTTTTACTCAAAATTAAGTGCAAGTTCTGGGATCCATACTTTTTGATGATAAACATTTGTGGAACATGCAAAAACTTCTAACTTTTATGCCTCTCACCAACAAACTGAACCTGATGAATAGCTGAAATTGTGAAAATATGTTTGAGACGAGTGTACCATCATAAAAAATTGCTAATCCGCCTGCCAAATTCGAGCATTGACATGTATTTGTGTCCTGAACTAAAAGGACCCCCATAACAATTTTAAAATTATTTCAATAATTCTGAATCTCGAACCCAATTTTTTTTTCATCACAGATAAGCCAGAGATCGATGAACAACCACAATATTTGAAGTTTGCCACTGATGCTGGTGATACTGGGAAGCTGATATGTAGAAGTAGAGCATCTCCATTGGCAAGATATACATGGGCTAGAAATGGGACTCCCATCACTTCAAATACGACTGGAAAATATTACAGCACATACAGACAAGTAAGATTCAATGATAGCAGTTATTAGAAATAA